GAAGTGAAGTAACAGGGGCGCCTGGGTGGCTCAGTTGGTTAAGCGTCTGCCTTCGGCTCAGGTCGTGATCCCAGGGTCCTGGATCAAGTCCCGCATCGGGCTCCCTGCTAGGCGGGGAGCCTGCTTCTCCCTCTGCCTCTGCCTCTCTCTCTCTCTCTCTGACTCTCATGAATAAATAAATAAAACATTAAAAAAAAAAATTTTAGAACACTTCATCACCCCAGCAAGAGACCTCTTATCATTCAGCCCCTCCCATCTCCCATCCGCCCTGGCTCTGGACAGACTGCTTTCTGTCTCGAGAGCAGCCTACTCTAGACATTCCAATAAATGGACTCACCTTATATGGCGACCCCATGCCCCACCTTTACGCTCCGTAACCTCGAGCCAAACAGCACATTCATGGTACTTGATAGTTTACACCATCAAACACGAGCCTTGGCCTCCTACCTGGTCTCCCTGCTTCCAATCCCCCTGCCCCCCAACTTCTCACCCATCCTTCCCAACCCATCCTTCCAGAGTGATTTTTCAAATGTAAATGTGGTCGTATCTCTTCCATGCATAAGATCCTGAAAGTGCTCGCCTTCCTTCCAGCTCATTTCTGAAACCCTCACCAAAGACCACGAGGCCTCTTCCTCTTCTTCTGTGCCCTCCACCTCTGGGCTCCCAGGAGCTGTGTTGCTCCTCCTTGACGCCCCCTGCTGGTCTCCTCTTAGTGGGCTTAAGAGTCTACTCAAAAGGCCACCTCTTCTGGGAAGCCCTCCTCGACTTCCTCAGACATCAGGACACCCCGGTCCACGTCTTCACGCATGCTGTGCCCTCTTTCTAATCCTGCGCCCCACCTGTGGGCTGCATGGCCTACCCATGAGGGAAGGGACACGGCTGGCTGTGCTCACCCCTGAAAGCAGCTTCTGGCCGTGTAGACGCTCAATAAGCGTTGCTTGAATGGCTGAATTACTTTCCTCAAACTCATTCTCTCCAGTGTCAGAACTATCTGCATCAGGGTCTGACTGGGCTAGTATGCGGTTCCCTGGGGATAGCGCCCACATTTGTTAATTTGGGGGTGTCCTTGGGCCTTGCTGAGGTCTTTGGACTTGCTGATGGGCCCCAGGGAATGCCACTGGCTGGATGACTGAATGGCCCACGTCGATAATCCATTTTCCTCTGGAGACCTGGCTTGGGTGGGAACCTCTCTGAGTGAGCAGGCAGAGCTCCCTCTGTTCCTCCTGCCCCCCCCCCCAAGTTCTCAGGGTACCCTTGGAGGACCTTCCCGCTTTGCCAGATTACTGTGGTGGCTGTGATAATGGATGACAGATACCTTCAGAGATCTCTGAAGGCCTAAGGGGGATGGGTAGGCTTTCCTTAGGGCTGGAAGAAAGCAAAAACAAAGCCAAACAAAACCAAAAACAAAACCCAAACAAACAAACACAAAAAACCCACCTCCTTGGAAAAAAAAAAAAAAAGCATCTCTTACGCCTCTCCCAGAAATCCGAAATCTGGCCTTGATCCAAAGAGTGTCTCTCTCTCAGGTCTGCCACTTGGGGCAGGTCAGTCCCCGTGGCCTCCTGAGTGGGACAGCCCCTTCCTGAGGTATTCCCAGCCAAAGAAATGCCTTTCTCTAATGTGGAATTCTCCTGTAGGAACTGTTCCATTTTCGCTCCGTTTCTTCTTACCTTCATCCCCTCGCGATGGGCAGTGTTACGGGTGTTCACGGACAGTACAAATGTACAAACGTGCGAATGACTCATCTTAAATGTACAGATGCTGTGACTGGTTGCAGAGAGGGGAAAAATATGAAAGGGGGTATCTGAGCGGCCGCGGTTCGGGAAGTGGCGCCCCGTGGCCGTTAGCCTTCAGCACGGCTGGTGAGGCTGCTGGGCCAATGTCCTCACCGCCCCGTGGAGGGCCAGGATGGAGGGGGGATGCTCCCACCGGCACCACCGGCTGAAGCAGGGGAGTCGCGGGCTATTTCCAGCACAGCCCACCCAGCTCCGAATATTGCTGCGAAGATGGTGCCTCTCCTGGGTGTGGAGGCGGGAAGGAGATGGGAGGCAGCCCCACGTTCCTGTGGGAGAAACTCTGATGCAGGGACAGGGGCTTGATGAGCAGCCTTTGACCAGGGGAATCTATTTGCCTCCCTCTCCTCTGGCTATAGGCTGTGTCGTTCTGTTCCCTTGTATCTAGAAAAAACTCTGCTGCTGCTGACTGTCATAAGAACAGTTGTTTATTGACTGTTTTAATCGTGCTAACGCCCTTGTGTCCCCAAGGCCCTGTGGGAAGGGAATTTTCCAAGGCCATGGAGTTAGGAGCTGAGCTGGGTTCCTAACTCAGAACAGCCAGCCCCGGCGCCCTCATTTTAAACTCTATGCTGAATGTCTCCTTCCCCAGTCACTTCACCAATCCTTTGGGTTTGGGACAGGGTCTAACCATTTTACCTGAACATTCAGCAAACCTAGGGCGTCTTCTACCTGCTAAGGGGAGGTGGGACTGAACCTGACTGCGTCCTTGCCCTGGAGGGGCGCAATCAGACTGAGATGGAAGGAAAATGTCCCTGGCAAGGTGAATAGTGGGCAGACCCAAGTGGCACAAGAGAGAGCCTGAGAAAGGACTGCCAAGGTCTTAGAGGACAAAGAGGTTCCTGTCCCAGGGGGAAGCTGGGAGGGCTTCCTGGAGGAGGTGCTGGTGGGCTGGGAGGAGGGGCAGAGATGCCGGAAGGGTGTCCTCTTGGCTCTCTTAGCCCTGGGAACTCTTCCCTTGAGTCTTTCTTACTTGCCCAGCAGGCAGACAGTGCTGGCCCTGACGCCTGGTCTCCTTCAAAGGAGAAGGGGTTTGGTAGCCTTCCTATTCTACTTGCTCCATGAGAGGCTCCTTCTTACTCTTGTTCCCCAGTCGGTAGACAGGGGGCCACTTGGGAGACCCGAGTTCTATCACCAACTGGTGTGATCACTTCTCCCAGGCACTTCCCCTCTTTGTGGCTCCATTTCCCTTCTGTCAAAGGAGACGGTTGAACAGTGGCCTTGGACTCTTATAGGGCAGATTCTTACCTGGTGCTGGCTGGTGGCAGTCTGGGGGGTGGCTCCCAGAGAATGGGCCAATTTCCCCTCCCTGCTCCCCACTGTCCTCAGGAAATATTGCTGAGCCCAGCCGGGGGGAAGCTCTGTCTTCCTGGGAAGCTCCGGGAGGCTGGGAAGGAGAAAATAAACAGCGGCTGTCTGGGTTTTCTCGCCAGGCCTGAGTGAGGAGGCCTCCTTGGCTCCTTCCCTTATATGGCCAGGCTGCTCTGGGCTGGGAGCCCGTCACCGCGCTCCCCCACCCTCCACCACCACTGAGGGCTGGGGGCCACTGCTGGTCACCTGGGACTCTGGTGCTGCGGAGGCCAGGGCTAGGGCTGAAGGTGGAGGGTGGGCCCCAGAACATGTCCCCAGAGTGGTCTATATAGGCTGGCCGCCTGTCATGGCCTCTGGGCTACTTGGGCTGGAGCCAGTGCGGAGGATTTATACTGGGAGGAGGGGTGGGGGAGTGGGGTCTCAACCTGGTCCCAACTTTATCCCCAACTCACTGTGTGACCTTGGCCAAGCCCTTTCCCTCTTCTGCCTCTGTTTCTTTCCATGTCAAATGGGGGTTTGGCAAAATACTCATTAATCTTCACAGTCAGCGCCACAAAGGGCGAGCTTTTGTACCTCTATTTCACAGAAGGGAAACCAGGCTTGGAGAGGCTAGCTGGACCACCACAGCTAGGTAGGGAGCAAGGCAGGGTTTGAACTTGGGGCCGACTTCAGGGTCTGCGTTCTGATGGGCTGACTGCTAAGGCTACTCTCAGTGATGATATTCAGCCAATCACATGTGCCATACGGAAAAGGCATCTCTGGCCCTGCTCCCCTGGAAGACTAGGGGGGCCCCAGTGCCCAGGGCCCAAGCCCAAGAGGCAGCTGCTCTGTTCAGGTGCCCCCAGCACCCCACACAGGGCTGGAGCAGACTCGGGGCTCAGGAAAGGGAAGTTCTGGAATCACTCGTAGTCACATCTGTGCAATGGGCATCATCTCCCAACTCCCAGGCCCACTCTGAGGATTGAGCAAAACAATGGGTGAGAAAGCACAGAGATGTCACTTTTATAACTGGCATTGTCTCTCTGTTCCTAAGCTCCTTTTCCCGGTGAAGTGCCTGCCTGTGTCTCGTCCCCAGGCCATTGTCTCCCAAGCCGAGCAGTTCTCACTTGCCCAGCTGTGGGACGGAGGGATGAGGGTGGATCCGCTCGGGGCCCGGGCTCTGGGCCCTGGCGGCAGCGATCGATCGTGGGAGAGGCTGCGGGAGGGGAGGCGGGGGTGGGTTGCTGGGAACGGCTCAGAAACGAGCCTTGCACAAGCAGCGACATCCTGTGTGCTCTTGAGCTGGCCCATCCATCATCCTGGCATCCTCTCAGACCCCGGCCCTCTTCCTGAGGCCCCGGGGCAGGTCTCCGGGGCTGGCAGCTCTGCAGGCCTGCTCAGTGTCGGGGCTGGACAGTGTGTGTGTGTGTGTTGGGGGGAGTGAGGGGCCTGCAGCCCTCCTAATCCAATTTGTTTAGACCCAGGCTCTGAGGCTCATTGGCCCGCGAGCGAGGGCGGGTGTGCACGCTGCGCTGGAGCACATGTTGGCTCGCACGTGTGGGCCATGCAGCGGTGAGCAGGTGTGCTGTATTATGTAAGCCAGGCCTGGGCCTCGTCACCTGTCCTGGACTGTCAGCTTCTTGCCAGAGCCCTGCGTCCTCCTCCCACCATCAGATCCTCGTCTGCTCTTTCCATCCTCATGAGATCTGGTGCCAGAACCCCGTGCCGCAACTGACTGTCCGGGAGAGGGAGTTCCTTCATTTCCCTGTGCCTCAGTTTCTCTACTTGTCTTATGGAACCCCGTACCTCACCCTGCCTGCTCCATGTGAAGGGGACTGGAATTGGCAAGTGTAGAAGCAAGTGATGGGTAGGGGAAAAAAAACCCAACCAAACTGCTATGGTTTCTTGAGCCCCACTGTGTGCCCAGCGCTGCACCCCCACCCCCCGGCCCCAGCCTGAGCTCCCAGACCCTTCCTAAGCCCCGGGAGCTGTTTCTATAATCACCAGGCTCACCAACCCCAAGTCCACCTGTTCCTAGAGCCCGACCCTGTCTACTCCTTCCCAGGGAAGATTGCTGTCATTCCCCACGTGTCCCCCAAATCTGTTATTCTCTGTTATTCACACAGGCTTTGCCTTGCTGGCTTGTAGGGAGCCTGGGGTGGGGTGGATTTTTGCCTCCCGGTTGGTTTTCTCTTCTGTGACCCCAATTCTTTTCACCTACAACCCACACCTCACCGCCCTGAATTGCCTGCACCCCTTCCATCAGCAGGGGCCTTCCTTCAACTGTTCCCACTCCCAAGACCTGGTTTCTCGGTCATTCTGAGGGTTGGGATGGCGAATGTGTCCTGAGGCGCGGGGCTCCTGCCTGAGCCTCGAGCGGCACGGGTGGGGCTGTGGGGGGTTGTGGGCGCCAGGTGGGGGCGGGAGGCACAGCTCTGTTCTCAGGGCCCCTGCTGCCTGTCCTCCTCCCTGTCCTCAGGAGGGCCCTCTCTGGGGGGCTTGTTCCTCCCATGTCAGGGTTGTAGGAGGGGCTTCCACGGCCAGTGCCCTTGCCTGCAAGAAACAAAGATACCGCCTCTCAGAAGGATGCTGGAGTGCCCTGTGGCCAGAGCCCTGGCCTCTGGGGGGGTCCTGATTGGGTTTCCGGGCTCCAGGGGCCTGAGGATGGGCCTGGCCTCCTGCTGGGTCCTCAGAAGCCTCAGGCTGAAACTGCTGGGATCTTCCAGGCCCCAAAGAGCCTGCTCCTCGGGCCCTAGGCAGCCACTGCGCCCACTTTGCCTGCCTGGCTTTCAAAGGGAGTCTTCTGAGTAGCAAGAAGCTCCGAGAGCAGGAGGGGCCGTTTTGCCTTCCCAGCACACTAAGGCCCCATCGCGAGAAAGAATGGGTCTGGAAGGAAGTTTTCCAGAGGCCCCTCTGACGAATGGCTCCACCTCCTGCCTCACACATCAGAAAGGAGCCGATTAGGGGCAGGTCAAAACTTGGGGTTAACACGGTGGCCAAGGCCGAAGGGACAGCCCCTGGGGCCACCTGTGACCGCTTCCAGCCGTACAAGGCTTTCACCCCGCAAAGGCTTCCTTCCGTAACTGCAGGTACGCTCCCAACCACCGCCAGAGGTAGGACCAACCTCCCCGCTTAACCGAGCTTCCAAGCGGCTCTGCAACGTGCCCGGGGCCCATCATCTGCGAGCAAGAACCAGAGACAAGCTTGACCCCAGGGCTGCTCACGCTCCATCCAGCTGTCTCCTGAGCCTGAGCGGCGGCCTGCTGGATGACCCCAAAACAAAGCTCACATCGTTCCGGTCATTGCAAAAGCCACGGTGCCCTCTGCTGGCCTTGCTCCTTTCCAGGGGACACGAGGGCCTGGGAATGGGTCACATCTGTGAGCTAGATGGCACCACAGTGGGAGAGGGCTGAGGTCGGGCTCCGTGCAGACACATGGCCGCAGTCGGTTCTGTCTGGAGAGGCCTCCCTGCCCTCAGCTCCCCTTCCTTGGGTCCCTCATGCGTGTGCATGTCCTACAGCCTGTGCTCTCCTTGGGCTCTAGGGTCCTGGGGTTTCCAACATAAATTTGCAAAGAACAGAACGGACAGGCTCCGGAGGCAGGCAGATCTGCACTGAATCTCGCCCCCAGCTCTTTCTAGCTATGTGATCGAGAGCTGGTGGCTTCACCTCTCTGAACGTGGTCCCCGACCTCAGGCTTGTCTGTGAAGGTCAGATGAAGTCGATGTCAAGTGCAAGCTCAGTTGGTGGCACGTAGTGAGCCCACGTAAGTGGCTGCGATTTCCATTAGGAGCCCAGGGCTGGACCCACAGCGAGGCATAGGCATGGGAGAAAGGGAAGCAGGAAGGATGAGGGCAAAGGTCCAGAGAGGCATCCAGAGAAGATGTGGAAGCTGGAGTGGGAGCTACCGTGTGGGGCCCCGTTCCATGGCCCGTCTGTTATGCGGCTACTCTGGGCCTCTGTTCCCAGGACGCCCTCTCACCCCTTTGACACCCCAGCTGAGTTCACTAGCCTCACACGCTCCCTTCTTCCTCCCCAGGGAAGGCGGCTGCTGAGGACTTTTGAGCCAGCCCTGGGAACGCAGTTTAAGGCTGAATGGAGAGTGATGGAGAAAAACAGGAGGACAGGGAGAGGAAAGGGGCCCCCACCTGCCCGGCCCAGAAGACCAGGACGGTTTCGAGGTGCTCAGGCTCCGGGAGGGGGTGCAGAGGATCCCCATGCCTCTCCTACACCCTGACCTTCCAGTGAGAACACAGAGAGGGACACGCAGTGACAGTGACAATAGCCACCACGTAGGGTGACTTACACTGGGACATGCTGTAATCATAACAATAGCTTTCAATGTGCTTCACACTTACCAGGTACTTTCCTGTACAGAGGCTTTCTCCCAATCACTTAGGAGCTAGCTACCTTTGTCATTCCCATTTTACAGATGAAGAAACTGAGGCTCCCAGAGGTTACAGCGCTCTCCCTCAAGGTCACGTGACTAGTGAGTGTCAGGTTCAGGACTGGCATCAGGCAGCCTGACATGCATTTCCACGGCTTCCCGTATGAGACTGGACTATTCCTGCTACCATTTTTACAGAGTGACAACCTGAGTCAGTGTCTCATGGCATTTTGTCAGGCCTGTGTTCGTTTTTATGGAAAGGGGGTTGTGAGCAGAGAAAGCATTTTTCAGCGTAGGTGGAAGCGTGTGGGCCCTGGCAAGGCTGCGTGTCTCCAGAAGCTAGGAGACTTCTTATTTTGGTTGTTATTGTGCCTCTTGTCCACGGTATTTCTCCCTTGCATGCTGTCTGTTTAAAAAACACACAAAGAAACATGATAAAGGGAATAGTTCTCCCTTCTGTCCTGTCCATTTTGCAAAGAACTGGGACCTCCAGGGTCCTAGTGTGCTGAGACTGAGTGATGCTTTTTGGATAATACAAATGCTGGTTTCTTCTGGAATGTGTTGGATGGAAAGAGCAGCAGGTTAGACAGCAGGTCACCTGTGGCCAGGCTGTGGAACTGTGGACAAGTGCCTTCCCCTCTCTGGGCCTCACTGTGATGTGGTGGGGAGGGGTCTGGGCTCCACGGCTAGATAGATAGGGGGGATGGCTCG